AGCCACAATATGGAAATAACTTTGGTTTTTGACTCCCCCAATGAGAAAGACCCAACAAGGGTTTTGTTTGACCCAACTTCTGCTGTGCTTGAGCCATTCAGCTTTTGTCTGAACAGTAAATGTTTAAGGAGTCAGTGTAGTAGTGTTCAAAGAAGAGCCCAGCAAATAGTATTTGAAAACCTAGGGAATGTTTGGAATTATTATTTAGAGATCTAAAGGTTCTCAGTCAGAAGTGATGTGTATAGTTGATTAGAACAAATATTAAACATGGCAACAGTGGATCTATTTGTATGTTATAGACATTAATTCAAGTTTCCCAACAGGATTTGTAGCCTCTTTTAGTCAATGAATAATTACAGCAACAGAAAGTTGTAAGTGTTAATTAATAAGTGATGCCAACCTCTCCTACCCATTGGAAAACTAAGTAATCTGTATAACCATAGACAAGCACCCTGGAAGCAAGTGACCCTGCCTCCGGTAGTTGCTCCTCCTACAAGTGGCATAAGCTGTAAGCCACTGTGCCGTTGCCATCTCTTTCCCCTCCTCTTGTCTGTGCAGGGGATGATGATGGCAGCTGCCTCATTAACCAGATGAGAACAAATTGAATCAATATTGCAGCAATGCTGGTGCACAGTGAGAGTGATTGAAGTCAGCTCCACACAGCCCTATGACCCCTCGCCCATGTGACCCACCTTCATGCTGTCCTCACCTCTGCTTTCCTCTTTGTCCTTCATCCCCACCTTTCACATTAGTCTTCCTTTCCCTGTCCCTTTGGAATTTTTGTGAGTCAGTTGCAACAGGGCCCCCTCTTTTCTCGGCTGCTCTTGCTGTGGAAATGGATTGGAGACAGTTAAGGACTTCAGTCCACTTGTTCAATCTTAAAAATCGATGCTCAAGTCTCGACATGTAGTGAAGGCTTATCATGGGTTTTCACAGCACCACAGGTGTGAAAGTTTAAACAGCACCACATGAAACATTAACAAAGATCACAGTGACTGTACAGCTGCATGTCTCCAGACACCAGCTTGGCTTCCAAGAGATTCATAGGCACAATTCCATTTCATTTGGTTTATTTTGGAGTGCGATGTGGCCATGATCTTGGAGACATTCCCCACTGCTGTTTTATTTAGTGATGAGGCTCTTTGAATAGGAGTACGCATACATCCTTAGGATCCCAGGAAGGAAGAGTTGCTTTCATGTAAAGCTTTGTCTGGTGGCATGATTATTTTCTTGTACAAGGAAATAGAGTAAGGTGACAGTCGACTAACTCACACCCTGTGGGCTGGGAAGTGTCTTTCAAGTGTCTCAGATACCAGATAGTTTCTGGAGTCTTTCCAAAAATATTTCCCAGACCTGGTAAAGCATTGTACATTTCTCACTCATTTGTATTTCACTTTAATGTCATTGGTGAATGCATAACAAATAAAGGATTTGTATCTATGAATTGCAATGATTGGAAATGTGTGCTGATGCCTTGAAAGTGAAAGGTCAATGTGAAGGGATTAAGATGTTGGCTTTTAGAGGTATCTAGGTCTTGGAGGATTCCTCCTCATTCATGGAGCTTGGTCCTCCAAAAGAAGGGTCTTTCATTAGGTAGTAGTGGTGCATGCCTTTAATCCCAGTACTCACGGGGCAGAGGCAGGCAGGTTTCTGTGAGTTCCAGGACAACCAGGATTATACAGAGAAATCCTGTCTGGAACAAAACAAAATAAAACAACAACAACAAAGAAAGTGTCTTTCAGCATTTGCCCCTTTCTCCTGCCTCCTCTTCTACCCATTGGTGACCCCGCATTCTTTCCCCCTAGAGGATGCAGCAAGGAGGCTCCGCTCCATATTGGAAGTGAGGAAGACATTGACCCTGGTGGTGCCTTGATGGTGGATTACTGGCATCCAGAACTGTGGAAGATACAGTTCTGTCCTTGACCCACTTCTAGTAGATTTAAAACAGCAGCATACAGACTGAGGCACACATATTATACTTTCAGGAAATGGGAGGGAATTTCTTCAGTTCTCCAAGTTTGGCTTTGTAATCTTCAAGTACCTGTGACATGTTACCCACATGTTTCCACTGCCCCATGTCAGCCCCCTTACTTTTGTGAGGTTGTGTTGCAGGGACGAATAGCTTTCTTCATGGTTCACCACAGTACCAAGAATGGACAAGTTCATGGTGCCTGTCAGTGATGAACAAGATATAAATGCTTATCTTCCAACTGAGGCTCAGAAAATCTGGGTTCATGGAGTCCTTGAGAATGGGGAAATATTTGATGACAGGAACTCACAAACCTAAATGGGTGGTTTGACTTTAAAAGGCAAAAGTTGTAGTTAGAAATTATGTTTCAATCTTTTGTACTTTTTGATGTTGCTTATGTTGTTTTGACTTTGTGAGAGCTAAGAAGAACAAAGGAAGTCTTGAAAAATTTTCATTGTTGGTTTTATGTTATGCTAGTAAATTATCAAAGCTTAAAAATACTGAGTTATTTTACTTAAATAATTGGCAACTATATCACATAAACCCATACAACATAAGCAGAATGAATGATTTTGTAATTATTGTCTGATTGAGCCGTCCTTTAATTATTAAGTCAAGTGAATTCATTCTGTGAGCTCAGTCATTTGCTTTTTTTTTTTTTTTGATTACTGAAGTGGAAAAATAATTATTTTATTTTCCTGTCCTGATTTGTTTAGTTTCTAAAGGGTGAAAGTAGCAAGTTATAAATGAGAATATATATCTTAAATGTCTTATTTAAGATGAATTTTATATGATTTAAAATTAGGAAAAATACGACTCCCTTCTATTGTCTGCATGTCAGAGTCAGAATTGTTCCTATGTGATAAAAATCAGTACCCTGGCAACCCAGACATGTCTCTGCATGACAGTGCCTCAGATGGCAGATGCACCAGGCATCCCCAGTGTTTGTGAGGCATATCACCATGATTTTTAATTTATTCTTTTGAGGATATCATACATTTTGATCATATCAACCACCCATTTCCCACTGACTCCTACCAAAGTCTCCACATTTTCTTCTCAACTTCATGTTCTTTTTCATTATCCTGCTGAATCTGCTTAGTGCTGTCACTATGTGCATCGTTCTAGGGTCACTTATTGGAACACGAGAAACCTACGTGCGATTCTATCCCCGATGAAAACTGAGTCTCCTTTCCCAGTCACCAGTTGTCAAAAGCTTCTCAGCTATGCATGGAGCTTCATAAACGACACTCCCCACCCCCACGCTGGAATTTTGACTAGCTAGATCATGTGCAGATTTTGGGCGCACAACCACAAGGGGCCAGGATAGAAGTGGCCACAGTCCTGTCAGATTCTAAAGCTGTTTCCCATACTTTGATGGGAAATACACAGTGACGAGCCTGCCCTTCCAGAAGCTCCCTCCATCTTTCTGCCCTTGAGAGTGACTTCTCTTTCATTAATACCTTTCTCTGTCCTTGTCATGAGTAACTATTCAACTAGACTAGTCTGTTTCCTAACCTCCCTTTAATTTAAATAATTTCCAACTCAACATTGTGACTCTTCATGATGACCCCACTGTAGACTGGCTCGGATCCCCTGGTGGCTGCTTGCTCTTCCAGGCATGCATAGAGCCACACAGCTTGTTGAGGGCCCTTTCCTGGAGTTGTGTTCAATACTGAGATGTCACTTAAAGAGCATGATCAAGCATGGCACCTGCCATCTCCAAACATGGGTCCTATGCGCATCACACTGTGTCACACATTCCTTCCTCTTTGTTGGTAGGTGGAAACTCTGAGGACTCGTAGGGAGGGACACCTGTGAGCAGGACGGAGCATAGCTCTTAGGAACTCTGTGATGGTTGAGGTGTATGGAACAGTTGTACACCCCTGCTGGCTTTTCTCTGCATTGTTACTTTTGTCACTCTTCTTTCTAGTCATTTATTTTCCTGGAGGCAGCAGATACTCTCAGGTTTCCCCCTACCTTTTTTCCTAATTCTTACATTTATGTTAATCCACACATAAGCATTTCCAGTCTTTTGTATAAAGGGTACAGTTGATAAACATTTGCTGTTTCCATATGGAGCACACTTGGGCAGATGTTGATTCCAGTTTCACTGTAGTCCATGCAGACATGTCCCTGACTTAGCTAGTTATTGTCTACCGATGATGATATTTCAAAAGTCTTTGTTTTGAAGTAATAACAGATTATAAAAAGAAAATTCTTAGCCATATGTAAGGAGGCACAGTTGACCAACTGTTTCTGTACTTAAATTCAGGAAATCAATGTTTTGCTTCAATAGGTATATCTAATTAATATTGATGTATAACTGGCCATCACAGAGCTTGATGGTCTAAAATAAATGCATTTATCTGCCATGATCCATATTGAAATCTGCAGGTTAGCTATCCAGTTCTATAGACTTGGAGGAATGTTCTTTGAAATCAGCTGGACTTGATTTTATCTTCAGCTGCTGGCTGGTCTGACTAGTCCAAGATGGCCTCACCCATGTATCTGCTGATTAGACAACTCAAAGAAAGCAGGTAGTGCGCTGTCATCTGCCAGTATGATAGGCTGGGCTTGTTCGTGGAGAGTATTCACAGCTTCACCCTGGGGTACCATTGGCAAAAACAGTGTGAGGGTTAATGCCAATCTGATAGGATCTAGACTCACCTAGGGGACAAAGAGGGACTTGTTTGTGAGGGAGTGTTTAGATTGGGTTGATTGGGACGGGAACATTCTCACTAATTGTTGGTAGCTCCATTCCACGAGATGGAGTCGTGGGTGGACTACATAAAAAAGACAAGCAAGCTCAACAGAAACATTTATCTGTCTCTGCTTCTTGAGCGTGGTTTGCAACATAACTGGCTGCTTCATGCTCTTGTTGCCATGCCTCCACCCCTGCAATGAACTGTTCCTACACACTATGGTCCAGAATAAACACTTAATTCCTTAAGTTGCTTTTGCCAGGTGCTTTGTTATAGCAACGAGACAAGTAGCCAATACAGAAAGTCCCAAGACCTGTGTAGACTCAAGGGGAAGTGAGATAGTGTCCATCTTTAATAGCAGCCTTGTATAATCATTGTATGGTGTACATGCAGTTCCCCTCTTCAATTCAGTGCCTGGAAATTCTAGGCATCCTAGGCCATCTTTTCAAGGCACTATGGAGTCTACCTCACCTTGATTTATGCTGCTGTCAATGTTTCCTGGGATTCCTCTTTCATGGCAGTTTCACTAAAAGAGCATGCTAGCAAAGTTTTGCTAATTTGGTAAGTGAAGACATAATCTTGGTTTAATTTTAATATGCATTCCTGTTGTTTTGAGTGGTACTGCAGTTGTTTTCTATTCTGTGAATGATATATTCAAGCACCGTTATCTCAGAGGGTCCAAGCAGCAGGGAGTATGGAGTGAAAGGGGGCCATGAAAGGAGGGGAACAGGAAGTAAGGCCACAGAGCAAAGAGGAAGAAACGTGGAGTCTTGAGGCTGGAAGAATGCTACAGTTTAAGCTGTGCTGTGTTCTAAAAAGTTACATGCTGGGGTAAAAAGGGATAAGCAGTGGTGACAGCACAGTGGACTGGATGTGGGGTGTTCGGGCTTGCAGTGATTATTGTGAGGTTTGTACCAGGCGAGGGCAAGTACACAGAGCCCATTATTTCAGAGGTTGAGTGCAGTGAGCAGCTCACTGGGGAAGAGTGAGTGGCTTTTGTGCATCCTGGTGCATTTTTGTTGCTTCTAAGCCTCCGCAGGGACACGTCTAGCAGCCCGCTTAATGTTTGAGTGTGCATCTCAGGATCAAGGTCAGGCTTGGATATAAAGCTTTGAGAGTTGTCTATATAAAGGTTATAAAGTCATTGAGAATGTTCAGTGAATTAAGGGTCCAGGACAGGGACTCGGTAAAGACGTATTTTAAGGGATAGATATATAGCAAGGAAATCATAAAAAAGGCTGGGAAATAGCAGTCATGACTGCCAAGGTTCTTGGCAGCCGTAAAATCCAGCGATTGTGTAGACAAAATGAATCCATCAGTCTGCTCCACACATAGCTTTCCCACAGAATTCTCTTTTCTGAAGCAAGCCATCTCCTGTGGCCCAGTTCTCTTACTGGTCTAACTGGAGTCCTTCATTCCAGCATTCAGCTCCAGGGGCGTATGTTTTGTGTCAGCAGTTTATTCCACTTGCATTGAGTGTGATGGGGAAGCAGCTCCAGGCATCAAATTGCATCAATGTGCAGGCCTGTGGCTGCCAGGCTGATTGTCCACAGCCCCATATTGGGGCTGAATTGTCCTTCTATCTGATATTGAGTTTGACTCGCAGGGAACTCCCAACAAAACAGTCTATAAACTGAATAGAGCATAAGCAACTAGTCCAGGCTCTACAACTCAGGATACATGAATAGTTAGTTTGCTGTCCAGTGCTGAGTGAGCCAAGCCTTTCTAACTGCTTGCCTGAGAGATGTGATTCTCTGCTAGTAATGTTTTTGATCAATTAATTTTTTATCAACAGCAATAGAGACCACATCAATACAGAAAGTACAAACTGCTGTCTGCCATTAAAGAATTTAGATTCACAAATATGTTTTCATTTGGGGACTGCCTCCAAGGTATAATGTATTGATTCACCATGGGAACTGCTTGGTTACCTTCAAAATATTTACTGATAACAACTGGATTAAATCAAACTTCCCCTTAAAATCCATTCAGAGCTAAATGCTGATCAAGAAGTTGGGGAGGGCATAAAGAGTTAAAAGCATTTCTCTCTTTCTGAAAAACCTTTGTTTTAAAAATAGATAAAATTATACATATTTTCATATATAATGATGCAATGTTTTGAATTGTATAATACATTGTGGAATGGTTAAATCTAGCTAATTAACATACACAGTACCTCAAAAGTTATTCTTTTGTGAGAATGTATAAATTGAGCTTTCTCAGCAGTGTTCAGGTTTATAATATACTGCTAACTGCACCTATAATGGTTACCACAAACCTCTTGAATATATTTTTCTCATTTAACTGAAAATTGAAAAAGGTGTGTGTGTGTGAACTCATGCACCCATGTGTGTATGGAAGCCAGAGTTTATCCTTAGCATCAGTCCTTATCTTCTACCTTTTGAGACCGAGTCCCTTTTTTTGCTGCTTGGTGCTGTGTAAGTCAGGCTAGGTGCCCTGTGAGTGTCTGGGAATTCTGTTTCTGTCTCCTGTCACACAATAGGAATGCTGGTACTATAGGCATAGAATACTGTGCCCAGCTCTACGTAGGTTCTGAGAATATGAACTCATGTCCTCACACCTGTGTAGCAACCAATTTATCCACTGAATCATCTCTTTAGCTCTTATTTAAAATTGTTTACTCTTTAGCCAGTGTCCCCTTGGTGCTGGCCACTTATAAATGTTAACTTGCCACATCCTTGAGTCACTTGGGGCAAGAGTCTCAGCAGAGGAATTGTCTGGATCAGGGTGGCCTGTGTCATGTCTGTGAGGTGTTGTCTTGATTATTAATTGGCTCACCCTGCTGTGGCCAGTACTATTCCTTAGACTGGACCCTACTTGCATAAAAATGAAGAAAACTAGCTGAGTGAGCACGCAGACAACAGGGATGTATTCATTCATCTCTGCTCTTGTCTCTGGATATTGTGGGTTGGTGTGCAAGCTCCCATGTCAACCTCCCCTCAGGGATGGGCTGCAACGTGGATCTGTAAGTCAATATGCCTCTCCTCTTCTATGTTGACTTGCTCATGTATAAAACACATGCAAGCACTGGTGCTTACTGCATGAGGCTAGAATAGTTGGGTCAGCCCCAAATTCTTGACTTCTGCTGAGGTCCGTTTTTGGGTTTCTATAGAAGAAAGCATCTTGATTTCTAACCTCCCTGAAGCCCTAACAGGTGCCCACTTATGCATTTATGATTCATAATTCAGGAACACAGCTGTTAAATGTCTCCATAAATATATTGGGGAGAATAAATTTTGACAGTGTAACTTTTTATGCATGCTTACTATATTTCTGCAGCTAATAAAATCATAGAATATATATTTGGGGGTACTTAAAAATCCTCCTGTTTACCCTAAAAAGTCACCTAAGCTAGCATTATAATTTTAATGCTTTTTGGTTAGAAAATGAAATATGTAAGTCACTCTTCTTAATCCAGAAGTCATAGTTCCATGACCAATTTCCTATAACCTATCTCTAAGCTGGCATCAGATTGGCAGATTCTGGGAATTCACTCATTAGACATGTGTTCTCTGAGCCCATGTTGGAGACTTGTGTCTTTGTAAAGGATCATCAGGACTCACCAAGTAGATCTCCTTTGGTCCATCTCTAAAGGAATCAGCCTCTGAGACTTGGATGGGTACAATTCACAGAGAGAACAATGAGTGAATTCCATTTGGTGGCCCAGGATTCTCATCCCACAAGTGTCAGTGACCCACTGTCAACTCTGGTCTGAAAGTCCTAAGCGGAACTCACTGTAAATAAATGCCTCCTAGGCTTTAAGCCACTTTCATTGTAGTATTTGGTTATGATTGTTCATAGTTATTAGTTTACTCTGTTCATATTTTCCTAGGCACAGCTGTTCAAACTTTATAGTATGACCTTTTCAGAGATGGGAGTTAAGAACTGTAAGAATTATGAGTAGCATAGAAACAGGAGAGTCTGTTTTCTTCCTCAGCAACTAGAGAAACAAATCAGCGAATTCAGTGTCTTTTCCTTGAAGTCTAGGGAAATAAGAGCAGATACTGCCTGGAATTGCCTACTTTTTGCTAATTGATGCCAAATTCCATGTTAGACTGTAATGGGCTTGGGGTCTCTACATACAATCTTTCTTGTTCATCTTGGACATTGATTTTAGATACCACAGGCTATATTTCCCTTGAGTGTGGGACATCTCCAGGTATCTGGGATGGGTTTTGCAGTGATCCAGTTTTTGTACACACTTAACCCAACGCCACTCAGATGACAAGCAACAGCACCTGTTTATACCCAGCCGCACTGGTGGGTTTACTTCTGATTTCTACTTAGCCATTACTTATAGCCTTTTGTAAGTCTAAATTAGAAGCTGAACCAAAAGATGCTGCCATGTGCAGTGCGTGCCCACAGTGGATGCAGGAAGATGCCAACAGCTTCCAGGGAAGGAAGTCAGGCTACAAAGATGATCAGTAATTGCTCTCACCCTGGTTGTTGCCCTGCGGCTGGGTGGCTGAATGCACTTTCCCCAGTCCAGACAGAAGCAGAGCGAAGCCCGTTAACCTCCTGCCTGGAAGAACCTCAGGCTCTTTTAGGAACTACAGGTTGGAACCCGTTTCAGATAATTTCATCTTAGCAGATGTGAGGCCCAGTGCTACTCAAAGCCCTGTGGGGAAGAGAAATGAAAACAGCTACATGTCCTGCCTCGGTATCCCAGTAAGGGGCTACACAGGAAGCATATTACAATGTAAAGGAAAAATAAGGTCATTTTTATTTAGAAACATTTTTAGAGTGACAAAATCGTATAGTGCTATTAATTTCAGAATCATTAATTCAAGTTTTGAATTTCCCAGTTGTTACTAGAACTTGAATAATTCCTTCACCATTTCATCTCTTTCTGGCTTTTAAGAAACTACCATGATTTAGGTTCATGGTCCCACGAGCTGATTCACTCATAATCCCAAGACTCACGGCACCAAGGCAGGAATGTTGCAGGTTCAAAGAGTGCGGGCTGTATGCATGATGAAAGGAACCACATGACGTCACGAAGCTTCTGAAGTGTGGTGTGGCTGGGCAGTGGACGTGGAGTGGATGTGGTGGGTAGGAGACCCCTGGAGAACCTTGAATGCTCTCAGAGTTAAAGAGACAGAGATATGCAGTCTCAGACCGAGGGAGGTAATGGACAAGACATGAAAAAAACAAAGGAACTAATTCGTGTGGAGAAAGGGATGGGAGGGCACAGTTACAGATTCCATTCCTCAACGCTGTGGACCTCAACAGGGAGGTCCTGATAGAAGTCTACCCATGTGTAGATCACACCTTAAGTGCCTGCTAGTTGGTGTGGAAGCGGCCATGTGGTGCTGACCCATCAGGTATGTCATTCTCCTGTTCAGTGTGCCACCCTGCTGGGGTCAGAGATAGTCGTATATCATGCCACATTGAAGATGCTGAGCGAGCCAGTCAGTCAGCTGTATATCCATGAATAGAGGAGCTGGTACAGTAAGACTGCCACTCCTGCCAGGCGGTGGTGGCGCACGCCTTTAATCCCAGCACTCGGGAGGCAGAGGCAGGCGGATCTCTGTGAGTTC